AAACTCTCAGAGAAGAGGTACACTACTTGGTTATTAGTTACAACTACATAACCCATAAAAAGTGACTACATGGTGGCTAAAACTCTACTGAGAGGCTGGGCATGTAATCCTCCCATTATATTGCCAATACGTACCCCCCCACTGGGTAACTAACATACACATGCTAACAGGTGGCAGTAAATAGCAGTATACGTGCAAACTAAAAAAACTAAACAAAGTCATACGATTTACTTAGCCATAACAAACTGTTTTGCAGATAATGAGATGTAACCTTCCCATGTGAAAATCCTAACACTCTGTTGGCATCATCAGGGATTCAATAAATTTTCAGTAAATGGGGCATTCCAGTGGCACAAGAAACAAAGCAAAACAGTCATACAGAAGACCTCTGTTCCTAAATTGTAAGATAATTACATTTACTAGGCTGTAAGCAGTTTACATGGACAGACCAAGACAGCTGTAAAAACAAATTAATTAAAATGTCATTCCTAAACTGCTTCCGTTGTCACCTAAATAGCCATCTTATTCATCTCATTATAAGCAGCACCTGGCTATTAACAATTTCATATGGGTCAGTTCTCATTAAATACTATCCTCTTCTCCTTTGTTCATCTGTGGTGTGTTCAGGACAACCTTTCCACAATCAGTTTTTCTTCAGAGTTCAAACCAGTACAGCTTCATCTAATCAGGTTTTTTTTAAAAAAGAAAGCAAATGTAAATACAGGTAGCATTAAAATTGCAAGAAGGAGAGAAGTCACCTGTATCCTTTACCATCTACAGTTCTGCAAGTGCTTTTAAAAACTACAGGGCAGCATGAAGTGGTTAAAGCTAGGGTTAAACTTGGCAGTTCAATAAATAAGGCTCTGATCTGTACATTTTAGGGATATTAGGATAGGCAGGGAAGATTGTAACTGCCTTTAAATAAATGTGGCATTAATCAAAAGAAAAGAATATGATCTGAGGGAGCAGGTCTTTCTCACTGCAAATGTTTTTATTTCTATACCACTCTTCCTCCAGAAAAGCCTAGAGCAATTTACCAAACACCAATTATTTTAATAAGAACAATAGCCTTTCAGTCTAGTTTAAACCTATTCAAATGTTGGGACACAACTAAAGTTTGAGGAGAATGACCAAATTGGACTAGAGTTGGAAAAGAAATCAGATTCATTTTGTAGTTATTGAGTTTGATCCACTGCAATTCAGCATCCTCAGGAATGTAAACGGAATATTAACAACTGGTGAGCTAAGAGAAAATGATATGATTATATGGGCAGTTCTTTTTTAAAAAATAACTCTGTGATTTTTAAGATAAAGAGAGAAAAACTAAGAACTAATAATGAAGATAGAAAGTAGAGGAGAGAAAAAAAGTAAAGCATGAAAAAGAAAAGTCAAAAGTGCAGAAAGAAAAAAATACAGAAGAAAAATGACTTCCAACTTTCTTTTACAACAAATATAAGTATCAATTTGCTTTCAACTGTTACTTTAAGTTTACAACATAACTTTCATTTTTCAATTGTCTAAGGCATAAAGGCAATTCTTGAGGCAGATCCCAAATGGTGCTCCTCTACTGTTCCAGTCACAGCCAACTTCATCAATGCGATCGGCTCCCAGCATTCCAACAGCGGTATCCTGTTTCATTCGATAACAGACAAGAAGGCCTTTGATAAAAACAGGACAGGAAAGAAACGGGCAGCTGTAATGTGAAAAATCGAATGATTTTTATGAAAATCACCTTTTTTTTTTCAATTACCAAGCAATTAAAAAAAATGATCTAGATGTGATTGAGTGAGGTTGTAAAGCCCTTCGCAGAACCATGTTTCAACTGGGCAGGGACAGTAATTCAAGTGGGCACTAGCACCTAGCCATCTTCATTTCAAAACCTCTTATACCAGACAACAGAAGGCTTTACAGCTCCTGTTTCACTCTGTTTTCACTTTTAAGCCTTCAGAAATAGTTTTAAACCAACCCATCATTATCCTCACCACAACCAACCTCAAAATGTTTCAAATGAAGCAATGAGTGCATCCTCCAGCAGAACTAAAGTAATGCCCCCTCCCCATCATATCCAGAATTCTTATGTCATGCAATTTTGGGGATATTTTGCTTTACAAAATACTTGAGCACCAAGCTACCATTTCTCTAAGCTGTTTTAGACTGAACAGATGAGGAATTATTTTCCATAATTTCACCTATATGAGGAGGGAGAAAGTCTGGGAACCATAGGGAAGAAAAAATGAATTTCTCAACATGAACTCAAAGCTCTGCAGCACTCCAAGGCTTCCATCAGATTCCTGATAAAGTGCAGGCAAGTAGGAAATCATTATTTTTTTTTAAATCATGGCAGCTTGAGGGTGGTACCACCTTGGCACTCAGAGATGATCATGTCAATGGACTATTGTAACACCCTCTACAGGGGGCTACCCTTGAAGAGTATCTGGAAGCTTCAACTGGTGCAAAATGCTGTGGCATGGGCAGTTATGTGTGCTCCTAGAATGACGCATGTTACACCTCTGCTCCGTGAGCTGCACTGGTTGCCAGTTTGCTTCAGGGTTCAGTTCAAGGTGCTGTTTTTGACCTTTAAAGCCCTACATGGCATGGGGCCGAGTTATTTGAGGGACTGCCTCACCCTGGTTGCATCTACCCATCCCATCAGACCTGGCAGGAGGGTCATGTTAATCCTGTCTACTAAAGAGTTTCATCTGATGGGACCCAGGAGACTGGTCTTTTCTGCCATGGCACCTGCCCTTTGGAATATCATTCCCCCCGAGGTAAGATTAACCCTGACCCTACTGGCATTTAGGAAATCCCTGAAAACTTGTTTTTTTCAACAGGCTTGGGGATCCCAGAGAAATGGCAAGCCTGCAAGATGGTTATACTGTATGTAGGATGCTGGTCTGTTCTCCCATGGTTTTATTTTTAATTTTATTTTTATTTGTACTTGTGTCTTTTTTTAATTATTTTAATGGCTGCCCAGAGTCATGTCTGTGAGATGGGCGGCTATATAAATCTGATGAATAAATAAATAAACCATAGATTCCCCCCTCTGGATAGTAGCATACTCACCAGAGAACTTGTCAACTTTGGAACTGTCACCAACTTCACTGGATGTTAGGAGACTAAGGAATAGGAGTTAAGATATGGAGAAAGAGAAGGAACATGTAGACTGGAAACAGCACAGAGTAAGGACTGTAGAGGAATGTGGAGAAGGAAGAGACAGGAAAATAAGAATCCAGAACAAGGAAAGGAGAAAACATGAGGTAGAAGAACATGGGTTAGTGTGCAGGATAGCCCTGGTGAGAGGACAGCCTTGGGAAAGAGAGGAAGATGAAGAAAGATGGAAATAGTGTTATGGTGGGTATAAGCTATGTTTGGGATCAGGGTAAGGGTTGGCTGTCAGAGCAGTATAACTGCATAACTTTTCCAATTTTTAAATGGAGTTATGTCAGGAAAAAAGTATTTGACCCACCTGATCTAACATTCTAAGCTAATTGATGACCTAGCACTCTTAAGGCTTAAACAATTTTATATCCCTCTATCATTATAAAATTTGGTAATAAAAGAACAAAAGGGAGGGGAGGAAGGATCAAGGAAGGTATCAGATGGTTATGGGGGCCAGCGAAAGATTTTAACAGTGATTAGCAGATGGCGATATGATTGGGATTGATGTAACAGAAGAAATGGGATTGGCAACTTGGTCTTGGTCCCATCTTTTAACTGAATAGCCTCTTCTTTTGGTCCTGAATGCCTTATCATTGAATACTTTGACCTCAAAGTGTTGCTAGTGAATACCATGTCTGTCTGTAATAAGACCATGATCTTTCACAATTTGGGAAAGCAGTCCTGGCATGTATCACCAATCATCCTGGATAAGGATGGAGGAATTCCTACACTCAAGATCTACTCACCAGGATTTCAAATGCAGCTATAGCCACAACTTCAAGGACATGGGCAGCGGGGGTGGGGGAGTGGTAAGGTGGTAGGATACCAGTTTGGGCTGAGGCTGGGCTACAGAAACAAGCTAGAGATTTTGTTGGTGTACTGTCTACCCAGCTGAACAGCAACATCTCTTCATAATCTTCTGAATCTCATGGTAAGGCCAGTATTGGATTCCTCTCGGCTGTTAGTACTGGGAGATTTCAAACTGCTTGACCTGAAGTTTGCATTTGGGATAGCTCAGGGATTCATGGCTTCTATGGCAATCATAAGCTTGTCCAAGTTAATATCCAGTCCAAAGTGGACACATGCTAGATCCAGTTTTTATCTTGCAGCTGACAGTATGTGATTTGAACGTGGAGGACACTGCTATTAGTGCTTTGTCATATTCAGACAAAGGCTTTGTGGTCAGCCTTCAGTTAATTACCATTGCTGACCCCTGCAAGGATGGAGGGGGAAATCTAAATAAGAAGGTTTCCTCCAGATGCTTTATGGATCTGCTTGTATTCAAAGGTGCCTGGAGCTTTTTTTCCCCAGTAACATGACAGACAGTTCTGCCACAAGGTTATCTCTGTGATAATGAAGTAACAAGGGCATTGGACGGGATTGCTGCAGGCAGCCTTTTCCTGTCCATGTTACACTTTTCAGTGTTTGTTTTTAATCAAGGATATTCCACCTTTCCTTAGATCACCCAAATAGTTTGAAGTGATCATAATCTTAATATATTACCGTATTATTCAAACAACTCCAAATGGATTCCGGGTGGCTCCATGGTTCACCAAGAAGCCCTGGGAGAAGTAGCAGCATTCCATTCCACTAGCATTCCAAATGACCTCTGGAATGCTAGTGGCAGAAGGTGAAGCATCAATATGACTGGAGACAAACATGAGTTGAAGATTGGGCGTACACTGTGGTGGTGATGATGGTGGTGGTGAAATGCCAGCATTTTTCTGCCCATACTGCATTGTTGGAATGTTATCCAGCAACACTGTTTGAGGTATCTCACAAATCATTGTGGAAGGGTGGATTACATTTTCTTTAGGCTGCTGGATTTTATTCACTTTCCTTTGGAGCTAGATGCCACATTGACATGTTCTTATACTTGGGACAATGACAAGCAAGACTACATGGGGTTTTCTTAAACTTGTGAGCCATGAGAAAGTGAACCAAAGTCTTTGTCACTTGAGTTTGACCACCTATGTATTGGATCCTTGCCTCTTTCAAGCAGGGATGAAGTTTTAAGGTTGAGAAGTGATTAATGTCTCTTTAAGGGAGAGAGTTGCACCTTCTGTCTTAAAGGAGAAAATTGTGCATCCTTATCTAAAAGACTACCTCTAGATCCAATAGAGTTGGACAAATTCTATCCGGCCATTAAACGACCCTTTTAAGAAAACACATTAGAGGAGATGTTGCAACTGCAGTTACAAAGAACCCTAGATAAAGCAGATTATTTTGACACTTTTCAGATGAACTTCAGACTTGGGTATGGGGTGGAAAGTGCATTAGCCATCCTATGGGTGATCTCCATCAAGAGGGCAGCTTTCCTGTTCTTATCAACAGCCACTGATACCATCAACTATGGTATAGTTCTGAACTGCCTGCAAGGGATGAAAGTTGTAGTGTCCAGTCCTTCCTTAGTGAACAGTTCCAGTAGATAGTGATGGGAAAGGATCATTCAAGCTTTTTTTTGGGGGGGGGGTGACTTCAAGTCAGTTTTTGACTCCTGGCAACTGCCTGGACAAGTCCCTGCAGTTTTCTTGGCAAGGTTTTTCAGAAGTGGTTTGCCATTGCCTCCTTCCTAAGGCTGAGAGAGAGTGACTGGCCCAAGGTCACCCAGCTGGCTTCAGGCCTAACGCAGGATTAGAACTCATGGTCACCTGGTTTCTAGCCTGGTGCCTTAACCACTAGACCACACTGGCTCTCTCAAGCCTTTATCTACTTCAGTAAGGGGTTCCACAGGGTGCACCTCTCTCCTCCATGTTTTTTCAGACCTATATGAATCCACTGGGGGAGGTCATCCATCATTGTTGGTTAAGGTATCTCAGAATTGGAGGGCAGCAACGAGCAGCTTACCCGATGTTTGGAAACCATAAGGGATTGGATGGGACAAAATACACTGAATTGCAGTTGGAAATCCTGTTCAAAAAACACTTCAATGGTTCTAAGTCACTCCTGCTGACTCTGGGAGGGACTGAATTCCCTTAAAGGAGCATGTTTGCGACCAGGGAATGCTCCTAGATTCATAGCTCTGACCGGATTAACAGATCGAGCCTATAATAATAGTGAAATCTTTGGGGAGTTGGTATGATCAATCACACTACAAAAATAGTGTAAGTAATAATTAATTTTAAGGGGAAAATATTTTTGTCCAAACACTTTTCTTTTAAAGTGTTATAGCCAATTTAAATAACAAACATGTTGTTATCTGCTAACAGATTATCTGCCCAAAGATTTAGATGGCAAGAGGTTAAAACAAAGACTCTTTATATACTGACATGTAAGATGCAGTCATATTTTCCACTGAAAGCAGGAAGATTTGCACTAAAGAATAGGGACTTGATTAAAAAGAACATGCCTGAAGCAATGCATAGATGCCACATATTTTTTTGTGATCAGTAATCTAATCCAGGATATACACATGAGTGCATGTCAAAGGATGGCGACAGTGCTGAATGATTTATTTTGAGGGATGGGATTAAAGGATTATGTTAATACTATTGCCAGTGATCAAAATAAACTGGGCTGATCCCTTTTCAAATGATTCTGTATTTATGGGCTTTTTTTGGCCTGTATTCAGAAAAGGATTATCTATGTCCTGAAAATTTTCCAAGTCTTAGAATGCTGCTATATGTGAACTCATGCAGCCATGCACATGGACATTATCAGATCAGTTTCTGGAAATAGTAGCTCAGTTTAACAGCATATGTATAAACACTAAATGGATTAAACTGATTTTCTGCTCCTTTTTATTTGGAGTTTAGTCTGGGATATGATCCTGAGACTGCTTTGGTCACTTTTGTGGATAACCTACATTGGAAATAGGGTTACTAGTTCTCCTGAAGTTCTTAGAGCTTTTGATACCATCAATGACAGCATCCTTCTGGGCACTCTGGCAGGACTGAGCTTTGGGGGCAATGTTCTGGTGTCAATCTGGTCCTTCTTGTGATATACCAGAAAGTGGTACCCTGAATCTTGTCTTCTATGCAGATAACTATATTATGGCTAATTAGACCATGACAAAACCTAGTTTACATATATCTTTTGATTCTCAAAATATTCTTGCATGGATGTATTAGGAGCTTTAATTCCATGGAGTCCTTCGGGCTCTCTGAGCTTGGTTGTTTTCTTGCAAACATTTCATTACCCAGCTAGGTAAGATCTTCAGTGCATTCCAAAGAATGGAATGGGGTTTGCTCTCTGTTTATATACTGTGGCATGCCCTGCCAGTGTTGGTGGGGATGGGGGTTTTGTTTTATTTTTTCCCTCTGGTAGTTCCTTGATTAAGGTATTGTTTACTGCTTGTATGTATACTGGATATGTAGATGACACCTTTGTCATAATAAAAAAGGAACAACTAGAGAAGACACATGAAACCATCAACAACATCTTCAAAGGAATAAAATTCACCAGAAAGGAGAAAACAACAACACGCTACCCTTCT